ATTGAGATGCAATATGTAAAAAGAAGTTATGATACATCAGGATGTGTACATGCATGTACGCATGTTTGAATGTGTCTGTGTGTGTGTGTCTGTGAGGATGGGGGTGAGGGTTTGGAATAAGATCATTAAAAGATAATGCTTCAATATAGAAAAAAATAGTATATGCCAAGAAATTTAAAATGTCAAGTTGTCTTAAGCTGGACACTTGGAGGTTTTGTTTTTTACATGGTGGAGGTTGCTGTGGGACATGATATGCTGCTGAAGCTCACACAATATACGGTTTATCTACTAGCTCACCTGATTGACATGCGGCATCATTTGGGACCAAAGCTACATCAGTCTCAACCCAATCTTCTGCCTCAGCTTTCCCAACACTTAGGCCAGGTGTGCATCTAGCTTTTTTGCCCCGGACATTCCCATCCAGTGGTGTGCTAGTAAACTGCCTCCATAGGGAAAGACAATAAGATACTAATTAGTAACATTTGCCAATTCCCTTACAGTAAATTTTCCCATTCTAGCCAAGTTCAAGCTACTAACAAACAGAAGGCAACATTTCTGAGTATGTAACAATCTGTTCTTTTAAGCCAGTATAAGACAGCTTCAGCAAATCACTGTCCTATTGTCTATACATTCACAGAAATAATCTTAATTGCTTTACAGAGAATTCTGGGTAATGGATGGGAATAAATCTTGTATACCTTAAAGGAAAATAATATTTAGTTTATGAGTGAAGTTCTAAATTATTGTTGAACCTATAGTAAAAATTATTAGAAAACCATTAGAAAAGAGCACAATATTTTCATTCAAAACCAGTATATTTCACTGTTCTAAGAGGGTTATGGAATCCAGTGACCAGTTTGGTGACCAGTTCAAAATGTAAGCCTTTCTTCAATGCATTAAAATATAAAGGTGACAGAATTAAACTGATATATTTCTCACATGAACTAAAATGTTAGTGTTTTAACATCTCTACAGTCTGTTTCTTTTTAGCATCTTTAATACTTTATCAGAGGCACACTAATTTGCTATTATTTAAATCTTCCCTCTGTTAATGTCAGGTCACCTATTTCAGCCATTCCCTCACCCACCTCCCTTCTGGTAACTATCAGTTTGTTCTCTACAGTTAAGAGTCTGTTTCTTGGTTTGTCTCTTTCCCTTTTTTTCCCCTTTCCTCATTTGTTTTGTTTAAGTTCCACATATTAGTGAAATCATATGGTATTTGTCTTTCTCTGACTAACTTATTTTGTTAAGCATTATACTCTGTAACTCCATCCACATTATTGTAAATGTCAAGATTCCATTCTTTTTTGTGGCTGAATAGTATTCCATTGTATATATATACAACACTTCTATATCAATTGATGGACACTTGAGCTGCTTCCATAATTTAGCTATTGTAAATAATGCTGCAATAAACATAGGGGTGCATGTATCCCTTTCAATCAGTGTTTTTGTACTTGGGGGGTAAATACTCAGTAGTGCCATTACTGGATTATAGGGCTCTTATATTTTTAATTTTTTAAGAAAACTCCATACTGTTTCCAACAGTGGTTGCACCAGTTTGCATTTCCACAAACAGTATAGGAGGGTTTCTCTTTCACAACATCCTCACCAAAACTCGTTTCTTTTGTTGTTGATTTTAGCCATTCTGACAGGTATGAGGTAACATCTCATTGTAGATTTTATTTGCGTTTCCCTGATGATGAGTGATGTTGAGTATCTTTTCATGTGTCTGTTGGCCAACTGAATGTCTTCTTCAGAGAAATGCCTGTTCATGCCTTCTGCCCATTTTTTAATTGGATTATTTGTTTTTTGGATGTTGAGTTTTGTAAGTTCTTTACATATTTTGGATACTAACCCTTTATGGGATATGTCATTTGCAAATATCTTCTCCCATTCAGTAGATTGTGTTTTAGTTTTGTTGATTGTTTCCTTCACTGTGCAGAAGCTTTTTATTTTGATGAAGTCCCAATAGTTTATTTTTGCTTTTGTTTTCCTTGCCTCAGGAGACATGTCTAAGAAAAGTTGCCATGGTTACCGTCAAAGAAGTTACTGCCTGTGTTCTTTTCTAGGATTTTTATGGTTTCAGGTCTCACATTTAGGTCTTTAATTCATTTTGACTTTATTTTTGTGGATGATGTAAGAAAGTGGTCCAGCTTCCTTCTTTTGAATGTTGCTGTCCAGTTTTCCCAACACGATTTATTGAAGAGACTGTACTTTTCCCATTGGATATTCTTGCCTCCTTTGTTGAAGATCAATTAACCGTATAGTTGTGGATATATTTCTAAGTATTCTGTTCCATTGGTCTATGTGTCTGTTTTGGTTACTACAACTTTGTAATATAACTTGAGTCTAGAGTTGTGATACCTCCAGATTTGCTTCTCTTTTTCAACATGACTTTGGCTACTTGAGGTCTTTTGTGGTTCCATACACATTTTAGTTTTGTTTGTTCTAGTTCTGTGAAAAATGCTTTTGGTATTTTGATAGGGACTGTATTAAATATGTATGTTGTTTTGAGTTACTAGACATTATAGCAGTATTTGTTTTTCTAATCTATGAGCATGGAATGTCTTTCCATTTCTTTGCATCATCTCAAAACTTCTTTCATTGGTGTTTTATAGTTTTCAGAGTATAGGTCTTTCACTGCTTTGGTTAGGTTTATTCCTAGGTATCTTATTATTTTTGGTGCAATTTTAAATGGGATTGTTTTCTTAATTTTGCTTTCTGCTGCTTCATTATTAGTGCATAGAAATATAACAGATTTCTGTACATTGATTTTGTGTCCTGTGACTTAAATGAATTATTTTACCAGTTCTAGCAGTTTTTGGTGGAGTCTTTTGTGTTTTCTATATACAGTATCATGTCATCTGCAAATAGTGGAAATTTTATTTATTCCTTACCTATTTGGTTGGCTTTTATTTCTTTTTATTGTCTGTTGTGGTTAGGACTTCTAGTATTATGTTGAATAAAAGAGTTGAAAGTGGCCATCCTTCTCTTGTTCCTGACTGTAGGGGAAAACCTTGCAAGTCCCCCCACCTTTTTAAAAAAGATTTTATTTAGTTATTTGTCAGAGAGAGAAAGAGAGCACAGCAGGGAGAGCAGCAGGCAGAGGGAGAAGCAGGCTCCCCGTTAAACAGGGAGTCTGATTTGGGACTTGATCCCAGGACCCTGGGATCATGACCTGGACCAAAGGCAGACTCTTAACCAACTGAGCCACCCAGGCATCCCAGTTTTCCCCTTTTAAGGATGATTGCAGTTGTGGGTTTTTCATATGACCTTTATTATGTTCAGGTATGTTCCCTCTAAACCTACTTTGTTGAGGCTTTTTATCATGAATGGATGTTCTTTGCTAAATGCTTTTTCTGCATCTATTGAAATGATCATATGATAGCTATCATTTATTTTATTGATGTGATGTATCACATTGATGACTTACAATATTGAACCACACTTGCAAGCAAGATAAAAATCCCAGTTGATCATGGTGAATGATTTCTTTAATATATTGTTGGATTCAGTTAGCTAGTACTTTGTTGAGGCTTTCTGTATCTATCTTGATCTCAGATATTGGCCTATAGTTCTCTTTTTTAGTGATGTCTTTATATGGTTTTGGTATCAAGGTGATACTGACCTCATAGAATCAATTGGGAAGTTTTCCTTCTATTTCTGTTTTTTGGAAGAATAATAGGTATTAACTCCTTAAATGTTTGGTAGAATTCACTTGTGAAGCCATTTGGCTCTGTTTCTTTATTGTTGGGAATTTATTTGATTATAGGTTCAATTTCTTTGCTAGTTATCAGTCTGTTCAAATTTTCTATTTCTTTGTTTCAGTTTCTGTAGTTTATATGTTCTAGGAATTTATCCATTTTCTTCTAGGTTGTCCAGTTTGTTGGCATATAGTTTTTCATAATATTCTGTTATGATTTTTTGTATTTCTGTGGTGTTGGTTGTTATTTCTCTTCTCTTATTTGTGATTTTTATTTATTTGAGTCCTTTTTCTTTTATTCTTCATAAGTATAGCTAGAGGTTTATCAATTTTATTGATTTTTCAAAGAACCAGTTACTGGTTTCATTGATCTGTTTTATTGTTTTCTTTTGTTTTTTTGTTTATCTGCTTGGTTTTTTGTTTGTTTGTTTTTGTTCTTTTTTTGTTTGTTTTCAGTTTCTATATCGTTTGTCTGCTCTACTCTTAATTATTCCCTTACTTCTACTGGTTTTAGGTTTTGTTTCTTGTTCTTTTTTCTAGCTCCTGCAGGTGTAAGTTTACTTTTTTGTTTGTTTGTTTTTTGTTTTGTTTTGTTTAATTTTTCCTGTTTCTTGAGTTAGGCCTGTATTGCTAAAAAGTTCCCTCTTAGAAGTGCTTTTGCTGCATCCCAAAGGTTTTGGACCACTATGTTTTCATTTTCATTTGTTTCCATGTAGTTTTTCATTTCTTCTTTTATTTCCTGGTCGACTCATTCATTGTTCAGAAGCATGTTATTTAACTACCATGTATTTGTGTTTTTTCCAGATTTCTTTTTTGGGGTTGACGTCTAGTTTCATAGTGTTGTGGTCAGAAAAGATACTTGGTATGAGTTGGATCTTCTTGAATCTGTTGAGGATGTTTTGTAGGCTATTATCTGATCTATTCTGGGGAATGTTGCATATGCACCTGAAAATAATATGTATTCTCCTGTTTTAGGTTGTAGTGTTCTGAATATATCTGTTAAATCTTATTTGTTCCAGTGTGTCATTCAAAGCCATTGTTTCCTTCTTGATTTTCTGTTTCAAGGATCTGTCCATCAATGTATGTGGGGTATTAAAGTCCCCTACTATTATTGTATTATTATTGATTAGTTCCTTTATGTTTGTTATTAACTTTGAACTGTTTTATGTATTTGGGTTTTCCTATGTTGGATGTATAAATATTTACAATTTTTAAATCTTCTTGTTGGCTGTCCCTTTTATTATTATATAGTGTCCTTCTTTGTCTCATGTTACATCTTTTTTTTATTTTTAGATATTTGAAATACAACTTTATTCTGATTCTAAACGAAAAGGAATGGGAATGACAGTGACAAACGAGATTTCACCACTTGATATTGTGATGGGACTATAGCAGTCTCGTATCTGAAACTCAGGAAGGAAACAACTGCGTTCCAAAACAGCTAAATATGCAGGTCCAAAAAATGAAAGTACTTTTTAAACTGCCACATTCACTCCGAAGCCCATTCATCTCCTTCAGCATCCCAAAGATTAAGCACATGTTCTGCTCAGCTATATAATAAAGTGGCAAACACGCTGCACCACTGACATCACAGGACAGTTGCCTATAAAACTAGACTTCTGACGCTGGGCTCCAGCTGCACGTTCTCACAGGTCATCATCTTCATCCGGGAGAGCAGTTGTCTGAGCAACCTCTAGATCATGCTCGTTCTGTGCTGCCAAAGCTGGGTCCATGACAACCTCTGGTGGGGCAAGAGCGGGCATGGCGACAAACTCCAAGTTAGGGTCTCCCAATTAGTTTTCTAGCAAGCCACAGGGAGGGCTTTTCAAAGTTGTAGTTACTTTTGGCAGAAATGTCATAGTACTGAAGATTCTTCTTTCGGTGGAAGACAAGAGATTTTGCCTTAACTTTCCTGTCCTTAATGTCCACTTTGTTGCCACACAGCACAATAGGGATGTTCTCACACACTCGTACCAGATCTCTATGCCAGTTAGGCACATTCTTGTAAGTAACCCTTGATGTGACATCAAACATTATAATGGCACACTGGGCCTGGATGTAGTAGCCGTCCCGCAGCCCGCCGAACTTCTCCTGGCCGGCAGTGTCCCACACGTTGAACTTGATGGGTCCCCTGTTCGTGTGGAACACGAGCGGGTGGACCTCCACGCCCAAGGTGGCTACATACTTCTTCTCGAATTCACCCGTCAGGTGACGCTTCACGAACGTCGTCTTCCCGGTGCCACCGTCGCCAACCAGCACCAGTTTGAACTGGACTTGGGGCTCTCCCTGGGCAGCCATAGCGCTGGTGCTTCCAGAAGCGTCTCCGGCCCGTCTGACTGAGGCACATCTTTGTTTTAAAGTCTATTTTGTGCAATGTAAGTATTGCTACTCTGACTTTCTCTTGACATCTATTTGCATAATAGATGTTTCTCCATCCTCTCATTTTCACTTTTCAGGTGTCTTTAGGTCTAATGTGAGTCTTTTGCAGGCAGCATAAAAAAAATGTTTTTTAATCTATTCTGTCACCCAATCATTTGATTGGAACATTTAGTCCATTCTTATTCAAAATAATTATTGGTAAGTGCATGTTTATTGTCATTTTATTATTTGTTTTGTGGTTGTCTCTGAAGATTTTCTCTGATCCTTTCTTATCTTTCTCTCTTTCTTGGTTTGCTGAGTTTCTTTAGTCATATATTTGTATTTCTTTCTCTTTATTCTTTGCATATTTATTAGTGATTTTTGATATATGGTTACCATTATGTTTATATATAACCACTTCTGCATATAGCGGTCTATCTTAAGTTGATGGTCATTTATGTTTGAACCCATTCTTTTCTCCTTGCCTCCCCATGTTTTAGGGATATGTTGTCATATTTTACACCCTTTTATTTTGTGAGTTCGTTGACCGATTTTACAGAAATATGTATTTTTACTGTTTTTGTGTTTCCTACTTTCATATTTTCATTTTTGGTCTTTCTTTTCCAATCAAAGTGTTCCCTTCAGTATTTCTTGCAGGGCTGGTTTAGTGAACTCCTTTAATATTTGTTTGTCTGTGAAACTCTTTATCTCTCTTATTTTGAATGATAGCCCTGCTGGATGGAGTATTCTTGGCTCCAGATTTTTCCATTTCAGAACTTTGAATATCATGTCATTCTTTTCTGACTTGGAAAATTTTTGCTGAAAAAAATCCCCTGTTAGACTTAGGGAGTTTCCCTTGTAAATTGCTGTCTACTTTTGTCTTTCTGCTTTATTATTTTTTCTTTATCACTATATTTTGCCAATTAAATTATAATACATCTTGGTGTGGATCTGCTTTTGTTGATTTTGATGTGGGTTCTCTGTGTCTCCTGGATCTGGATGTCTGTTTCCTTCCCCAGATTAGGGAACTTTTCAGGTGTTATTTCTTCAAATAAATTTTCTGCCCCCTTTTCTCTTTTATTCTTCTGGAATGGCTATAATATGAATGTTATTATGTTTGATGCAGTCACTGAGTTCCCTAATTCTATTCTCATTTTGTATAATCCTTTTTTTTCTCTTTTATTCAACTTAATTACTTTCCATTACTTCATCATTTAGGTCATTAATTTGTTCCTCTACTTCTTCCAGCCTGCTGTTCATTTCATCAAGCATGTTTCTCATTTCTTTAATGGGCCTTTTATCTCTGCTATGTTATTCCTCTTTTCTCAAGTCCAGTGAATATCCTTATGATCATTACTTTGAATTCTCTATCTGATATGTTACTTATATCTGGTTCATATAAATCTGTGGCCATGGCCTTGTCCTGTTCCTTCATTTAGGGTAGATTTACCTGTCTTTTAATTTTGTCTTAGTCTCTATGCCTGTTTCTGTGTGTTGGGAAAGTCAGCTAAGTGTTCCATTCTTTTTTTTTAAAGATTTTATTTATTTATTTGACAAAGAGAGACACAACGAGAGAGGGAACACAAGCAGGGGGAGTGGGAGAGGGAGAAGCAAGCTTCCCACTGAACAGGGAGCCCGATGTGGGGCTTGATCCCAGGACCCTGGGATCAAGACCTGAGCTGAAGGCAGACGCTTAATGACTGAGCCACCCAGGCGCCCCTAAGTGTTCTATTCTTGAGGGTAATGACCTTATGAAGAAGAAGGCCAGTAGTTCCCTGCCATGTAGTGTCCCCTGTTCCCCAGGGCCTGGTATTTCTGGGAGTGTCTCCAAGGTGTACTGTGTGTGCTCTATTCTTTTGTCCTGGCTACTTTAGCCTTCAAACCAGCCATCTCTGCAAAGGCTCTCTTTGCCTGTTGTCAGCAATGTTTGGTCGCTGGCCTGAATGTGGCATGTTTTAATTGGGTGTGCTCTGGTCTGTTTGTGAAATGAGGTCTGTTGCCATCACCGCCTAAACTGACGTCCACAAAATTCCTGAGTCAAGAGATGTGGTGTGACCATTAGTTTGGACTGGTCTTCAAGCAAAGGGAGATTACTTCCCTGGGACTGAGGAAGGCTGACTGGGAGAGGCAGTTCCACTGAAGTGTGGGGGTATGGGACTTGGTGTAAGCAAGTTATGTGCAAGTGTGGGCACTGCACTGGTTCCTGCAGGTAGCCCTGTGCTTATGCTGAGGAACAAAGGAGTGAATTTGCCCTAGCCACTTCCTTTATTTCTGGAAGTGTCTCTCTGTGAACGCTGTCTCTGTGAGATGTGCTCCAAATGAGCAAGTAACCTCTCTACTCTGTGCCCCAGATGCTCTTCAGATTGCTGTCTCCACACTGTATGTTCATGGTTTGTTTGCCTGCCTTCTTTCCAATAGAAGCCCCATTGCCTCTGGGGTCCCCTGAGCCAAGCACAATGACCTTTAAAATTCCAGGCTTTAAACAGCACTAGTTATAAAAACTCATGAAATTTGGCTCCTTTCACTTTCCAAGCCAACTGCTGTGGGTATTCATTTTCCCCGTGAGCTCCCCTATGTGCTAATCTTTTTCTTGTGCTTCTCTGTGACATAGGCTCCCTCCCCATTGCAGTGACCATGACCTGTTTCTCTCCTAAACTGTGTCACTGCACTTCCTACTTCCTTCAGTGTGGCCTTTTCTCTACCTTTAGTTGTGAAGTGTTTTTTTGCCATTCTTCAGGTCAATTTCTAGGGTATTTAAGATGATTTTATATTTATCTAGTTGTATTCATGAGATGAGGTGAGCTGAGGGTCCTCCTACTCCACTGCCATCTTCCAACCAAAAAGATATCAGTATTCACATTAGAAGTTTCTTGGAAATATAATCCAACTGTCAGTTTTTATTCCCATTTTAGTCAGTGTTCTCCAGAGAATCAGAACCAATAGGAGATAGCTATATATTTACATATATACACATAAATATACATATATATGAGATATATGATATATCATAACATATATAAGGGAGAGAGAGTTATGAGAAATTGGCTTTCATGATTATGGAGGCTGAGAAATATCACAATCTACCACCTGCAAGCTGGAGACTCAATAGTATAACAGTACAAATTCAAAGACCTAAGAATCAGAGGATACAATGGTATAATTCCCAACATAAGGGCAGGAGAAACTGGGATAAGGTGTCTCAACTTAAGCAGTGAGCCAGGAAAAAACAGGGTGCAAATTTTTCCTTTCTCTGCCTTTTGTTCTCTTCAACCCTCAACAAATTAAGTGATGCTCACTTACATTGGTGAAGGAAATTTACTTTGAGTCCACTGATTTAAATACTAACCTTGCCTAAAATACCCTCAAGTAATAGACTGGAAATAATGTTTAATATAGGTACCCTGTGGCCAGTCAAGTTGACAAAATCAACCATTACAAGTCCACCCCTTGTCAATTTGGAACCTATACATATCTCTTTCAACCACATTTAAGCTCCAAATAAAGACAGTAGCAAGGTCATAATTCTGCCTAACATGATGAACTATCTTTCTAAAAACCAAAACCACACTAATCCCTTCCCCAGAAGAGGAGGCAAAATCCTCAAGTGATGTTTACTCTCCTCCTTGATATCCTATAACTTAAATAGTATAATGTAAAATTAATAATACATAATTTTTCTTTTGAGTAGTCCAATTTCCCCTTGGTAGTCAAGATCAATTTTCCTCGCCAGCACAGTAACTCACTTTTTTGCCCTGTTGATTCAGAAGAAAGAGGCAACCAAAATGGCTAAGTGGGAGTCTTAACTTTCAGTTCAATGGAATCATTGTTGTGGCTCTGGTGGAAGCATTCCTCCCTCTGGAACTAAGACCTCTAGGCCAACAGAGTATAAAGTCATAGGAAAAGGAAGTAAAATTTTGCAAGTGGGTTACTAGGGGTAATAGTAAATGGTTCACTCCCATCTTCACTCCTAGATTCCTGGACCCATGAATCCTGGCTATTGGAAAAACAACACCATATATTGGATCCTTATTTAGAATACATATAACCCTTTGAAGAAACTTGCCCCAGACCTACAAAATATTGGCCTCTTTTGGTCCAAACAACCAAACTGTCAAAGCCCTTTCTAACTTCCCAAGCTGCAACATTAAATTAAAATTAAATTAAATTAAATTAAATAATTAAATAATATTAAAGCAGAATTTCTGCTTAGGGAGCCCATGTCAACAAACTCAGCCAGATCCAACTTTGTTTCTTCTACTATAATCCCACACCCTTAGTATCTATTCCCAAACATGTTCTTGGATTTCTGTCTGTATAAATTAGAATACTCAGTAGTTCTTCTGGAACATAATGCAACTCCTTATGGATCACACAGTGTACCTCACATGAGGGCCTCCTAGGACTTAAGTCTTGTTGTAGGTATAAATGCAAAGAGGGGTGAGAAGGGTAGATCCTGAGGAAAATCATCATTGTCTTGAATAACAACTACCTCAGGGAAAGCCATTACATTTTTCTCAGGCAATTCAGGGTTTAGTCCTCTCAGACTCAGGTGGGAAATTCTACACCACTGAGTGGAGAGGTTGACAACAGTGAGGGTGGGATGCTGTTGCTACTGGAGGTGGGGAGGCTATTTCTGCTGGGGGTGAGGAAACCTCTTCCACTGGGAAATAAGGCACTTGAGTTGGGAATTGAAATCCCTGAGTTTATCTTTTTCTTTCACCACTTTGTCTAGCAACATTAGAAGGAAATGACCAACATCATTATATTTATTAGTTTTACAAAAATGTGAAAAAGTATCATGTACAGAGTCATCTAGCTTCTTGCTTTTTATAAATGTTTAGGATTGTCCAATGCAGGAATTTTACATATCTTTATAAACAGTTCATGCCATGAATTATCAATGCTCCTTCAACTAATGGAAATAGTGTCGTTAGCATCTTTAAATCTAGCCAGATTAGAGAGCCAATTCTAGCAACAC